AATAGATCATTAACCACAAAGTAGGGAAGAATGGCCCACAAGCTATGAGCAAGAGGTAACAGTGCTATACTTACAATAATTTAGAGTTTGATATTTTGTTTATTTCTGTATTTAGTGTAAGATCTTGATCAGGTTCCCAGACACACAGAGCAAAGGAAGTGAACCTTTCCAGCTTTGCAAGACAGTTGCCGGCAGCCCTTTGAAAGTGTGTGGGCCTCAATTACTGAGGGCTTTGTATCCTGTCTTGAAACAGCAGTGAAAAGGGCAGAGAGTGAATCTTCAACCTTAGGCTGCCTCAGCCACGCAATTTTCAGGCAGCCCAGTCTCTTTCCTATCAAAGGTTAAAACCGTAACACATCTCTGGGACTTTCATGTCAAAGTTACAAACTGCGCCCAATGCCAGGGTACCAGTTCACATGACACTGCACAGCTGTCATGAACCCTACCAGGACACCAAACCTAAACGCCTCCTCATCAAACAGCACAACCTACAGAGGAGGTTCTGGGAGGCTCCAGATTAATCACAGCTCAGGTATGCCTATGAAAACGAGCCCACAGATCAGCCAGCTCAGTCTTTCACCAGGCAAATCAGGTCCCTGCACACTCCTGCCAGCACCTTCCAGTTCCTCCCCAATCCTCATTTTTGGGACAAAAAGACTGACAGGATCACACAGATAAAAATGCCTGTGGAGCAGGTGGTGATGTGATCATACCACACTCAAAGAACACTTGTATTCGGCACAAAGCACTCCTGAAGCCCATTCTGGCTTTATTCAAGATCCCAGTCTTTAAGATCCTTAAGTGAAGACTGGAAGAAAAAGCCTCATCCTCAATCCCATCCTTGCTCTGGCAGGCAGTGCTGAGAGAGAGCTCTTTGACAGGAGCTGTGTCTTGGCCAGCCCACAAACCAATTTAGAGCGTGTATAAACCTGCGTAAGACAGTTTAAGAAGAGCCTCTGAATGCAGACAGAAATGGCAATTTTCTAAATAGAAATCTGACTACTTAAGCCTTATTTAAAAGTGTGCCTGTCTCTATAATTACACAGCCTTAATTTGTTTTCTTTACTACACAATAAATAAGGTGTGCACAATTACCCTCTGCAAATACAAGGCAGTGCCTCCTGACTGGCTGGCTGAGTACGCAGCCGCCCAGGAAAGCATTTTGTGGGAATCACAGTCTCTTAAGTACCTGCTTGCCAGTAAAAGGGGACTCAGGCACTGTAAATATCAGTTTTCCCAGCTCTAGGCACAACCTGCTGTGAGCCTCCTCTCCTACATGCATAGCTCTACTGCCCCACGACCAGTGAAGGCTGGACACTCTGGCCAGCAGCAAACAGGTCCTGTCTGCTGTGCACTGATTCCTGGTGCATTGTGAAGCTGAGCTCTCCCATGGACTTCCCAGTGCCTAATGAGGATTGTGATAATGTTTCGTTCTTTCCCATATGGCACTACAACAACATCTCTTTACTATTCCTCTGACTATTTGCATGATACATGAAAAATCTGATATCATTACAACTTGTAATCCTCTATCAAGTTCTAATAAATTGGACAGAGCATTCCAGCATTATTAGGAGGACAGGGAGAATGACGGCATGCAAGACTTTCCTCAATAAGCTGTGCTAAACACAGGAACATAGTAAATACGTATTCAGATGGTTTTTATGTCTCCAGTTTAGAAACCATCCTAAAGTTTTCTTGTATAGCCTCAAGCCAAAGACAGAGGTTTTCTGTCAACACCAAACATTTCCTACATCCTCCTGCACTGCCTGCTTACAGTAACTTCCTCAGGACCACCCTCATATCAGTCCAAGGGCTATCAAAACTTCACAGAAATGGGATCGAGAACCCACCAAAGCAACTTTGCCTAGCAAGACCACTTCCAAAGCAAAGGAGAAAAAACAAACCACTGGATGACATACAGTCTGGATCAGGTCCATGTCCATCCCCATTCCACATCCAGATACTCCCTGTTCTGGAGAGTGGCAACTGCCTCAGACCAGTTGCTAACAGAAGAGGTAGATCCACATTGCAAAAGAGGTCTACCTCCTTGGGGAGCTGAATGCTAAAAAAACTCTTCATGGGCTTCTCTTCTTTCCTCCCTGACCCTGTGATGGGGAAGGGGGAAAAAAAAAAACCAAGCCAAACTTCATCCAGAACCATTATCTTAAACCCCCACAAACCTGAGCTCTTGCAATTAGAGCTAAGTGATCTGCTTGTGATTGCACAGCTGGGGTCTGAAGACAAGTGCATGCACCAAGGAAGGGCCAGAAATAGAAGTTGCTGGGAGAAGGAACAGCTCTCTGGCCCACAAGGAGGAAACCTTGATGAAAGGCACTGGGAAAAAACTCACTTCAGCAGGCAGGTAGGATTTAACCCAGGATGGGGAGGAAGGAAACAAAACCAAAAAACAACCCAAACAAAAAACCAAACAAAAAAAAAATCTTGCAAGTTCTCATATGAGCTTCATGTGGAAAAATGCCTACTGCTGCTCAGACCCAGCTTGTAGCACCCTGCAAAGGTCCAGCCCAGGGTCCCCACTGCATTGTGCCAGCCCTCCCTGGCAGTGAAGTCTCTGTCACTTATTAGACACATTTGCTGTCTTATTGACTCAACTCTACCTGCAACCATCCAAACACCCAGCAAAGGAAAATCAAAACCAGGGCAGCAGCAATAAGATGCAGCAGTAACTCAATGAGCCTTAAGAGTGCTGTTCTGCCGTCCCCAGTCCCGCACCCATCGACTTCAGCCAGCCCCATCATAAGGGGACTGGGACAGTATCCCTCACTCCTGTCAGCTACTGTACCTGGCTATGCAGCCCAAGGCTTACAGCAGATTGACATTTCCATTAATCCTTTTATCCCTGGCTCCTGCATCCTTCGGCAGTAGAAAATGTCAGGCCCTCGGCTAGTCAAGCTCCCCAGGAGGCAGCAGCTGTGGAGCAGCCAAGGAGGCACCCCAATGCACTTACACGGTGCTGTAGCCATGGTGGGGACCCTGGGTGGCATCAGGTGCCTGCCAGGCTGCAAAAAGCCTCAGGTGGCACTCGCTGTGCTCCCCTTATCAGGCCAAGAGCCCCCCAGATAGAGCAGCCTGGCTGCAAAAGAGCAGCAGCACAACGACCCAAGAGCCTCTGAGGAGCTGGAGTGAGACACCATCCCCACAAGAACCAGGTCTCCATCCCCAGGTATCCAGCATCCACCTTGGGGGACATCCACCTTGCAAACATCCATGCTGCCAGGTCCCAGGGACAGCATCAAAACCCACCAGCAAACACCAACCAAATAATAGACTTACTTGCCTCAAGCTTCAAAAGGCAAGGAAAGAAGGATGTTAAGAACATGATCAATCTTACATGGCCCAAGCAGTAAACAAACACATATTTCATCACCACATACCAACCTTAACTCCTGACACAAGATGGATGTGGGATTTTTTTCCATCTCGAAAGTAATCTCAAAAGACAAAAACAAACACTTTTGGAAACAACATCAACAATTGCATGTGTACACATTAGCGACACATTCAGCTACAAAAAGAGCCTAGATGGCCTTCTAAGCTCCTACTATACCCAAACTAATTTAATCAAGCCTCAAATGTTATCCATTTTATGTACTAGATACATAAACAGCAACTGCTCAACTGACAAACAATCCCCCCCAAAATAAAAAACCAAAACAAAAATCAATTGGAAGATGTATTCAGAGAAACACTTCCCCTGTAACTAACAACTAACAAAACATAAAACAAACTCTACAGAATAACAAAGCACAGCAATCAGGAAAATCTCAATGGTCAGCATTAAGAGGGTTTCTGATAACAAAATAAGCACTTCTTTAAACTCAAAAAGGCTCCATGCTTGTTTTCAACACCCATAACCATTCATGCCCTTTGGTGCTGCAGATCTCCTATTTAGCAAGTACTTTACCGTCACTTAGCAACTGTAACTGGTTTTCCAGAAAGGAAGCTTTTGGGGTTTTTCAGTTCACATCATCTCGGAGTAGACGTCAAAAGACAAATCTATCCTGCTCTGCAGGTCACATCTATCTCCCTCCGCCAGAAACCTGCCCACATCCAAGGCTGCATACATCCATAGACTCAAATGAATGCGTGCTACTATCATTTTTCATGGAAAAAACCACTAGCATCGGTTTCTAAAAAGCAAGGAGACACACACTCTCCCATCCAGCCCAGCAGCTCCAGCCCAAGGTCAGGGACCTCTCACCAACCCCTTTTCACCTTTGATATCTATTCCAGAGACAAGAATGGGTTGATCTCTGACACAGTCACTTTGATGACGCATTTCAAGTCCATGCAGTGCCTTGCACTTTCATCTGAAATTCAGGCTTTCCTTTATCGCCTTGGGCAAAGTAAATACATATCCAGAAGAGAAATCAGTGTCCTTGGCCTCAAGCATGCGGGAAATTCCCCAAGGCACTATACCCACAGGCTAACAATGGTCCAGGAGCTGGACTCTTATGCAAATGTCCCGCGATAACAGGACTCCAGCCTCTCCAACACAGAATATCCCTACCCAGGCGCACGGCAGACGCTGGTTTAAGAAGTCAGTAATTGGGAGCAGAGCTGGCAGCCCCTTGCCCTAGGATTTGTGCCAGAAAAGCAACTTTTGGTGCAAAGGTAACGAGCAGGGCAGGCTCTGGCCGTTTGCTGGGGTGTGCAACCACCCCCTGAATTCTGCACAGGGAAATGCACACTGGCCACCACAAAGCTGCTAATTAAGCAAGCGCTCGTCAGAGCGGCAATCAAACTCGGGCCAGTTACCAGACACCAACATCCATCAGCTGCCCAGCAGCTCACCCCATCCTGCATCCCAGCCCATTGCTCTTCCCTGTTCTCTCACTTTTCTTTCTCCCTCTCTTTTACCTCCCTTTCCCCATCAACATTCCCCTTCCCCCCACTTCTCTTCCCAACAGGTACTTTGGGGATCCCCTTTCCACAAGGAGCAGAGGGAGAAGGGGGCAGGAGCCACCGGCACTCACATGTAGCGGAGGTGAGGGTTCTTGGCAAAGGCGCGCGGCTGGATGTTTCGTAGTCCTGAGTTCCTGATTGTCCTGCAAAGAGATGCAGAAGGGCAGTGATGGAGTCAAGGGCAACTGCTCTAAAAGCCCTGTGCTCAGCTCCCGAGGTGCACTGGGAGCCTTGGGTTCCCCACCACCCCACCCCAGCCCCCCAGGAGGCATATCTGTCCCCAGACATCCTCTGTGAGTTATAAGCAAAGAGGAAATTGGGCTTTTCAGCTTCATCTGATCCAGTGACAGCCCAGGCACACTGCAGAGCAGCTGCTGGGACATCCACCAAGACTTGCTGGGGTGGCCTGGAGCATCTCCTGCTCCTCTCTTCTCCCTCCACGAGCAGCACTGCCCGGCCCCACAGCAAGCACTGCCATCACCCCTCCCTCAAAACCAAGAGAAAACACTTCTGCTTGCAGCTCTGATAAGGAGGAGTAAGAATTTTGCATAAGGAGTTATGGACATTGAAGGAGGAATCTTCTTCCCATCCTGTTTTGGAGAAGCTCTATCAGCACTATGACCAGGGTTTATTAATACCTGATGCAGACTAAAGCATGATTCCACTGCTGCCTCTTAGGTGAGACTGAGAACAGCAGCCAGCCTGCTTGCAAGGGGTGTGTGTGTTAAACCTACAGCTTGCTGGAGCCTAGTTATGGAGCATTCAGCAACACACACCTCTCCTCCAGCCTGTGGACAAGCTGTACCTAATGTAGAGCTCCCAGTGAAACACAGGAGCAGAGTCTCCGATTAACCCTGAACAGCACTGTGCACCTCATGCAAGCAACACCCAGGGTGCTCCCAGCTCCAGGATGGGGGAACTAAGAGATTGAGTGGTATCTTCACTCAGCCAGGCTTCCCAAGCACCTGGCAAGTCCCTTCAATCTCATGGACCTCGGTTTCCCCTCCATGATGCACAAAGTCAACCTGTCCTGGTGCTCAGAGGGTTGTGCAGGCAGGTGAGATTCCTTTATTGTGCAGTACCACCGTGATGGTGACTGCATTAAATGAGGACCAACAGCCCAGCAATGAAGGATCGGTGAAGACAGATGGAATTTCGTATTGTGGGGCTTGAAATGAGTCAGAACAATGCACAAGCTCAGAACCAGAACAGCGGGGGAGAAGAGAGGTCAGGGCTGATGTGTGTTGACAGAGCTGTCAGGAGCTAGTGATCTTCCTTCTCACAGACCCAGCAAAGCCCCAAAAAGCACTCTATCTCCATTTGGTAGAGTCTTATAGCAAAACACACAGAGCCAGTAGCTTAAACAGGCTCCAAACATCATGGTGTAAAGACTTGGCACGGAGGGAAGCTGCAGCTTTTTGCTGGAAGGAAGGGGCTGCCCAGTGCTGTTCTCCTCCCCGACACACGGGACATACTCACAGCCTCTGGAGTCCTGTGTACAGCTCCATGTCGACAGCATTCAGCGTCTGCAAGTTCTTCCAGTTCTCTATGTGTCTGTGGAGAAGAAGGAAAGGCTCAGCTGTGGCACAACCAGGTGGTCACTCTGCCCAAGCAGGGGACAGCACACAGCAAGAGCTCATCGTGACCTACCACCCAGCCCCACACCTCTTCCCACATTCTTCCAGCCAAAACCTTCTCGCAACCGGGCTAGGGATTAGACCTGCTCAGGCTTCAGTATCCACACCCTCAGACACATACAGCACACACCACGCTGCCAAAATAAATAGTTTCTCATCCTGCTTTTTTATTCTGTTTTCCCAGTGCTTCAGGAAAGCCAAATAACATGGTTTTACCAACAGTTTAGAGTGTGGAACATGCAACTGATCCATTGAGCATCCTTGCCCAAGCCATTGCCCCTCTCTGCACCTTGCTATGCACATCAGTAAAACAAACACACGATTGAGCCGGCTCAAGCAAAAGGAGTGAATGTAAACAAAGTCTCAACAAAAACTTGGGGTCCAAATGGGGAGGGAAAAAAAACCCAGAAGAGTTTTATTTATCCAGTCTCTTACTGGGGTGGACAAACAGGGTCCTAGTCTTTGCTGGCTGGAAGTGTTGCTGGCAGGAGAGCACCAAACTTAGTTTGGGAACTGTGCCTTTATTATAAATTCGTCAGTTGCCTGGGGCGCTCTGGCAGGTATGTTATGGAGAACAAAAACAGAAATAGATCTGTCACCGCAGGATCGTTATTCAGTAAATATTAGAGCCAGAGGAATGTGACAGATCGACAGCCCGAGAGAATGGGGTCCCCTGTTATCAGCAGCACAGGAATAATGCTAGCAGCAGCACGGCCAGCTGGCTGCAGCCACGGGCCTCTGCTAACAACCTGCAACACTGGGTGATGGGGAAGCTCAGTCCTCATCCCCCAGGCAGTCCTTGGCCAGCTCAGGCTTTCTCCCAGGATAAATTCAGACACCCCCTCACCAGAAAGCACAAACATTTTCAAGAGGGTCTTTGCTGATGAGCAGGTGGAGGTGATCCTTTCTCAAAGTGAACTGAGGGGGAGAAAAACATCTGGCTGGTCCCCTTAGTGTGTGAAGACCAACTTCGAAGTTTATGAACACACGAGCCCAAGCTCACATCTGCCTTGATGCAATAATTGGCTTTGGACTTGGCCCTGGAGAAGGGAAACATTTCTGAGTGACGCAGGGCTGGGGTGATAAGCCAACACTGAGAACCATCCCATGATTCTGTGATTCTGGGCAAGAAGGTTGCAGGACCCCATGTGGTGGTCCCAAGGGTGAATAAGCAGAAGAGGGACCTTTGACCACTTCCAGAGCTGTCATGAGGCTGCATGTTCCTCCTCCAGGTCTGGCTAAGGCTTGTGCTTGCACAAGAACAGATGAATTAGCGTGACAGAAGTATACGGACTTATTTGAGCCACATCCCAAACACCATCCAGCTCAAGAAATAAGATACAAAGCCTGGACTAAATCTAAACATATTTCTTTGCTCTCACCATGCACATCCAAGAAGAGCAGAGACCTGCAAGAGTCACCTCTGCTTTCCACACATTCCATAATTGTCTGCATACCCAGAGGGGTGAGCATAAGGACACAGCGTAAGCTCCCAACCGACTGCTGCATGACAGTGTAAGTTATGGTTCATCCTCAATGACCCGCTCATCAGCTTGGATCGCCTGTGTCCCAGACAGAATGAGAAACAGGACATTATTATAGCTATTTCGTACTCCCTGCCAACATTTAAGGCCCTTGTGAACCCTTGCAGAACAAAACATGGACTGGGAGGCGTCAGCCAAGAGATCCAACAGCTCACTGAAACCCTTCTGAGACAGGGCAGGACTGCGAGTTCAGGTCCTGGGCCACAAGATCGCAGGACTAAGCAAGGCTAGAAACACAAGTTGAAGATATTTCCCAATTCCTGCATACCAAGAGTGAGAGTTCCTTCAAGAGTAAGAAAGAACATGGGAAGAAGCAGGAAT